ATATATATATATATATATATATATATATGGCAAGCTTTTTATGTTTTCTCTACCGCTTAAAACTTATATACTTTCTCTTATCCAACAGTCCATTCTGAAGGGAGGGCTAAGAATCCCCCAATCACAATGTCACATCTCTACACTACTTTATTTTTAATTTTTTCTATAAACTATTTTGACTCTAAATTTTGGATGTCCAATTCTCTATTAAACTCGCACTAGCAAAAAATATGTAAAACATATTTTTAATAAAATAAAACGATCAAAATACCCTTGAAAGTTTCAAGGGGTATTTTAGTTATTATATTTTATCAAAAATTATTTTTAATATTTTTTATAGGTGCACACCAATGAGAAGATGACACGTATCAAATTTCATATTCATATAATTTGTATAAAAAAAACTAAAAATATAATACTTTGAGGCATCGGATCTAAGATCAAACGGTGAGTGGTTCTCTTGATCAAAGTTGGATGGCTGGATGGTAGGGTGAGGATAGTTCTTCTATGTTGTAGGAGAAGTATAGAAATATTTCTTCTATATATATATAATAAAATTACAATTTGCAGGTTATTATGGGTATGCAATAAAGTCATTGAACAATAATTAGGCTCTTAATTGACACATTTTTTGTCTAAATTTTACTAAACATAATAATGGCTTACTTCACTATTATGACACGGATGTCCAATGATTTTTTTTGTGGTGCATATATATAGAGCAAATAATAAAAAGCCGCAACCAATAAGTGCAAGCAAAAGTCTAAATATTCAAATCTCACCCTTAGTTCTCAATTGTCTGTTTTAGTCTCAATAAAAAAATTCAAGAAATTAAATAAGTGAAATTGATAAATAAGTTAGTCGGATCTATCCTTAAATCACACGAGTGACTTAAAGTTTCATACCAAAACCTATAAACCAAGCCATCCGGTAACATGCTATCTTGAGAATCCTCTTTAGTGAATCATAATCGCCTTGGATGTGTCATTTTCATCATTCTCTCTCTAACTTTACTTGAGGGGTTAACCTATTTTTATAGAGAACCTGGTTTGTAAGTCTTACATCTATAGGAGTTGAGATCCAAGTATAACTCTTGCCTTAATTCCCTTAAATGCAGCCAATTAGGATTAACAAGTTGTCATCAAACTGTTAATTCTATGTAATGAGCAAAACCTGTCATTAGTACATTAATGACTAACATAATAAGCTGTCATCTAAGTATTCCTACAAATTGATAAAAGATATTTAAAAATTAAATGATTTTGTACGTTTATAATAAAAATTGTATATAATGATGTTATTTACCTTTGGTATGAGGATGTCACAATTACTTATAAGTTATAACCATCCAATGTGAAATCTGATAGCTTGGTTGTGTCACAATGATCAATAAAATTTATTTTAAACTTTGAGCTTGGTCAATGAATTAAATGCATCCACCTAACTTCATATCTAATGGCCAATATTAATAGTAACCACGTTGTAACCAAAGGTAAATTGTGTCATTATATACTTTCATTTTATAATATAAAAATAATAATTCTTACAAGAAATCCAAACATATAATTGAGTTTTCCCTCCAGTGCAACATCCTATAAAAGCTCCAAAATGGATCCTAATATATGGCATTGCCTCATGTCAACTACATGGGATTTCACATATATAATACAATATGGCTTTTGTACCATTGTTGAAAAGTAAATTCTTGGGAGAAAAGGGCTTGATAGGCCACATTTCTAACAGCTTGATCTTTTATTTGGCTAAATCACTAAATCTTCTTTGCAATTATGATCTTGTTAAAAATAAAAAATAATATATATAGGAAAAAGCTGGGGTTAGACCACTAGCTTATATGAACATATGAGCCCAACGGCCCAGATTGAATTTGAGCTAATCTGACGATCAAGATGTCCAGTAGTGTTTGAATTTTATTTATTTTTCTACAAATCCAAATCACTTGAAATTTTAAGTGTGTTTTTTAAAAATATGTGAATTTTCGAAAACTATCAAAAAAATATTTTACATGTAATAATAAAAAAAATTAGGTGTGTTCTTCTCATCAAGGCACACCTAATAAAAATCTAAAAAAAAATTATT